GCCGCTAGCTCTCTCTTCTTTTCTTCTCTTGTTTGTTCATTTTCTGGTTTGCATCTAATCTCAAACAGTTCCATACACCAAGTGGGCTGTTTTTCAACTATATGTAATGTAAATTTAATAATAAGAGTGCAAATCAGGGCCCACCTAGGATTGGAGACCAAGAGATAATCCAATATGACCTAGTCCATTGCCTTGGTTCAATAATTCAAAACAAGGGAGAGATTCAGGAGTATGTCACCCAATTGAATTAAAGCAGGATGGGAAAAATGGAGGTGTACATCTGGAGTCTTGTGTGATAGGCAAATACCACTTACACTAGAAGGAAAACTTTACAAACCGGTTGTATATGGAGGAAGGTGTTGGGCAAGAAACAACATTTCCACCAAAAAAAGAGTGGTAGAAATATGAATGTTGAGATGGGTGAGTGGAAAAAAACTATAAAAGAAAAAGATCAAGAATGAACTCATTCGGAGGAACCTAAGAGTAGCTCCAATAGATGATAAAATGAGGGAAAATAGACTTAGAGGGTGTTTTAGAAGGCCATCTAAAGCACTTATAAGAAGAAGTAAAGTGTTGCAAGTTGACGGGGCTAGAAGAGCAAAGAGGTAGACCAAAAAGGACATGGGTTGAGGTAGTAAGAAATGATTTAAGGGATCATAATTCAACTTAGGATATGGCATTGAAAAGAACAAAATGGCAAAACAGAATTTATGTAGCCAATTCCACATAGTCAGAACAAGGCTTATATGATGATTATTGATGGAAAGGATGGAACTTGGAAATGAGTACAGAAAATGCTGGTCCTAGAGAACAAAATATAGACAATGGAACTTGCAATTTTCTAAAAGAAAAATAGGTGATTGAGTGTAAGGCTAAAACCGGAGTTGCAATAATTGAAGAAAGCTAATACAACAATAAAAAGAATATAATGGTCACACCACCAAGAAGACACAAAGTGTTGAAAAATTCAGATATAATTTTCACTATTCTATTCAAAACAAATAAACACATACAAATATGTAGCAAGACCTGCTAGTGAAAAAAAAAAAAAAAAGAAAAACAAGCTCTTCATAGCTATCCTAGAATACATTTATCAAAAAAGAAAATAGATATGTTGCTCAATGCAAGGGGGCAATTACTTACATTTGTCATGCACTCTTTTCAGTTCCCTAGAGGACCATTTATCCCGTGTTTCTAGATTCTGGGAAATCTAATCCACATATTCATGATATTGAACACAATTTCCCATGTTTCTTGTTGATGGGAATAGGGGAAGTACATCCAATGTTATCATATCATACTGATTTTAATAACCAGTAACATTCAAGGGTTCGCATATAGTCTCCCATTTTTTGGGCTTCCTTTTTCTTGCCACTAGAAATCTCCCAATTTTCAGTAAAAGATTTCCAGCTCCAAAGATTTGTGGATTGTCAAATGGATTATGGACCTGGGTATGGATATAGGACATGGTATATTTTTTTATATGGACCTGACCACAGGGTTGCATCTGAAATGGATCTAGGATTGGGTTTAGGCCATGGGCTTTCTTTCTAGCCCATAAATGTCCCCCTGGATAAAATATATATTATTTATAGGCTCACCACACTCTGCCTTTAACTAGATGTAGCATAGAAATCACTTCCTAGAAATCAAGTAATTGACTGTTATGATTTTATTGAGATATATTTTGTATGTCAAAGGCTATGGCTCCAAATGAATAAGATCCATGGTCCTAAAACATCCATCCCAGAAGTACAATAATTCTCAAATATACCAGGAAGATGAGCCTCCCAATATAGCTCTTTCCTCCCAACCCCTTCTCTGGCTAGGTCATCTGCCACATAGTTGGCCAACCTTGGATCCATCTGGCCAACATCTTCACTGTAGGTGCCAAGGAGCTGCCCTCTAATAATAAAATGCCAAAAAGATCCTGACACCCATTGCTTTTATTATTTTCACCATTTTATCCTCAAGCAAATGTATTCAGCACAGCACAAAGTTAAGCAAGGTGATAAAAATACATACCATTTGAGAATTCCTCGAGTCCACAAAACTAGACTTTCCACAAATAAGGCTTATCCATTTGTTGTAGGAGTCCAAGGATGGTCGAGCATGATGAATGATCTGCAAAAGAACTACAAAAACATAATAAAAACACGCATAGTGACCTATAAACAAAAAAAAATCAACTGAAAAGGCATGAATGGTAGCAGTAAGAGTTCAAATTGGGCAGGTCTGGCAAGGTTAGAGCCAACCTGAGCCCAACCCTAAGATTTGGCACCCCAGCCTTAGGCCCAACCCAACTGAAGGTAAAATGCTGGTGAGCAAAACTAAACACAGACACAACTCAAGACTGGGCAAGTAGGTCAGATTTGAGGATTTTCTTGTTAATGTTTTCCTTTTATGAGCAACAGTAAAAGATGATTCATTTCTGCAAAAAGAAAAATTACATCCTATGCAGAGTTTTGGATAGTCAAATACAAAAGAAACAGCAATAAGGCAGGTCACTCTGTCAAGTTACTAAAATCGAAATTTACAAGATTGTTCCTTGTGAATCCTGCTTTATTTAGGAAATCAGCTTAGATGGTAACTGATCTGGATGTCCACCTGAATGAGCATTCAGGTTTGCAACCAAAAGTCTAGCTTCTCTGACTAGAAATCTAAGTGACCAAGGCCCTGCTTTATCTAATGTGCTGCCTCCCACCAAAAAGAAGTATTATTTTTTTGATGAATAAGGATAGCTTTATTACTTCAAAAGAAAAAGATCTCATACAGCAGCCCGTGGAGAGGCGCAAGCTGCAGCCTCTCTCAACTGATTACAAAGAAACTTAAAAGGAAAAGGAAAAGGAAAAGATGAACATTACAGCTGAGCCCAAAACAAAACTTCCCTATTTGTCCCTTGCTTAGCTAAGCCATCAGCCAAAGCATTTGTTGATCTCCCCACCTATTGTATACTAACAGATATATTCCTTGTCAGCTACTTAAATTTTTTGACTTCATTTCTATAGCACCATATAGTTTCCTCAGGATTCTGCAACCACCCCACCACCACCTTGGAGTCCCCTTCTATAACAAGTTGTCCTACTCCTAACTGATTTGTGAATTGCACTCCTTGTATGGCTGCTAATAGTTCTGCTCTGACTGAATCCCCAAATCCCAAAGAACCTGAATAAAGCAGTATAATATCTCCAGCCTCATTTCTCAAGACCCCTCCCATTCCAGAGCGCCCTGGATTGCCCTGGCTACTCCCATCAAAATTCAGTTTCATTGACCTTCAGGCAGTGGAATCCATCGTGTAGATGCCTTAGTCTTCCCATATAAGTATTATTGCTTACAATATGTGTATATAATCTAAATGGTATACATGCATGCACATCAATGCACTTGTGCAGGTTAGGCCAAGTATCATATACGCAGTCAATAAGTCGTAGAAGTGTAATACAGCATAAATATATATAGGAAAAAGATTTGTGAATTGGATTGATTAGGAAAATTCACTAGACAGCCAAAACCATCTGAAAAGGCATGCCCCTTCCTTCACTATGACCTTTGTCTTTGTGTACTCTCTTACCTATTTCATGTATGTAATAGTTGTTCTATTTTTATAAATAAATGTTGACTTTTAGATGCAACCAAGTTGTGTAACAACTAGCAGTATATTCAGTTCAGCACATTCAGCATATATGTAGTGCTTGTTCAATGCAGAAGAATATATCTACCAAACCAAAAGAATGCAAGTCACATGATGAAAGAAGGTGCTTTACCTGGTCGATAGAAAACTCAACAGACTGAACTGCTTTCTCGAATGGAAAGGAAAGAAGTCCATTCCAGGCCAATGTTATTGCTAAGATAGAAAAACTTGCAAACTCGCTCAGCTCAATCTGTTGAATTAATACTCTCAATATAAAGCATCTATTTACTTACTGCAACCATGGAATGAAGCACAACTACAAACTAAACAATATTTGGATTATTTTAATTCTTTACAAGTATAACCAAACTGGGAATCACAAATCACCTCAGGGATAAAAATGTAGAATGAATCAGACTCATGCTTCAAAGAATATGATTCAGCATCATAATTGATACCTATGAACCCATAAGCCCTTATCAAGGGTGAATCAACTGAAGTATATCTGCAGAAAAATTAATAGAAACAAACTCGTATCTTCAGTTCATAACTTCATTCACAGGGCTAAGATTTAAGGAAATGAATATGAAGCCTTTTCAAACTGGTCTTCTGGAAAAGATAAGATACCTGCTGAAATGAATATGAAGTTAATATATATACCAGCAAAAGATGAGAAGAACTAACAAATTACGCTCACCCACTTGTTGAAATATATATCATTTTACCAACTTTAGAAAACTATTCTAGTGATGATTAAAAAAACACTAACATCCTTCTTACTCCATCAAGCAGGAAATGGTTTTCTCATATGAACAGAAACTGTAGAGAGATTGGGCCGAGCGGGCCTTAGTTTTGTTTATTTATTTACTCTCTTTATTTCTGCAGTAGTGGGCTGCCTTTTTGGGCCTTAATACTTTTTTAATTTTTTATGTGACTTGGATCAGCCACCTAACTAGGGGCACCCATGTAATTTTCTTGTCTTTTTATTTCAGAATACATAAGTGATTAAGATAGAGAGAGAGAGAGGTTCGTTTCAGCTCTCTTCTCCTCCCTTTTCTTCCTCTTTCTTCTTCTTTCTCCTGCACAGCTTCTTCTTCCTTCTTTCTTCCTTTATTTTCTATTTTACAATCAAGATATTGTTGGATTGTATTTCTTCTGAAACATTGCAGCAGTATAGCAACTAGAACAGAAAATTGGGCTGGCAATATGGCAAACATCAAATCTCCTTGAACATATTCCCCATGATCCACAAATATTAGATGTATTGGATAACCTAAACTGGGTAATGTGAGCATCAAGATAGTCCTAAACCAATTTATAAGTATTCTAGATTTCTTTTAGTAATTTTCTGTTTTAGGGGTGTTTTGGTTAGCATCTCTTATAGCACTGAACAAGGCTTCAAATCACCCCTTGTATTTTTCAATTTCCATAGTTTTATCTTTTCTCTATCCTATACACCATGGAAGATTTTCATTATTTTGTACAAGATCACTTCAGATCCCTACCAAAACATCTTTATATTAATCTGCCCTCTACATATCAATATTCTAAGCCTGTACAGAAATTTCACGGAAAAGAAGTTCCATCCATATACCTGCTTTCTTGGTTTTCACAAATTTTATTGATCTAAGGATCCTGAGAGATAATAAAGGAAGTGCTAATGGAAGTTTTTTGAGGAGTTTTATCATAAAATTGGATTAATCTTGGGATGGATGCCACATTCATAGCATTGATACCAAAAAAAATCCAATGCCTCTCAACCTACAGAAAAGAAAGAGGAAAGAAAGAATAGAATAAAACATACACTAAAGTTAATAACCTTCTTGTTTTTTTTTCTATTTTACTTTCCATCTTCAATATTTATCATATAAAGTTAATAACCTTCGTTAGCTGCTAATTAATATGAATTTGCTCTGTTAAATACTTATTATAGTAGTATTATTTTTTAAAATAATGAAATTAACATATGTAAAAGATTTTTATCTTTTAAATGTGACGATTAGCCACATTTTTAGAGGAAATTTAATGTTCTTAACAAAGAGAATTGCTATTTTTTCAATTAACATACATGATGGTATATAGAACTAGGAAACTAGCCAAAAGTCAGTTTTTTATATTATAAACTTTTTATCACCTAGGCGACTAGACACCCCAGTGTTGCCTAGAATCGCCTAGACACCTTGAAAACTATGGCGCTCACGAATGTTTGGTGAAAAAGCACTTATTTCAAACAAGGGTAGGCAAAACAATGTGGTGGACTAAGATAGACCAGAAAGGAAATAAGCACTTAAAAATAAGCCACAATTTTAGGCTTGTCAAGTAAGGAATAAGCACTTATTTGGGCTTATTTTTCCAATGAAAATAAGTGCTTATTGGTGTGGTCCTGGCCCAAAGTAAGTGTTTATTCAAATAAGCACTTATTTTTAAGCACTCCCAAATTTAGCCTTATTATCAATGTTCAGGATGCCTGTTTCAATTGCAAGGAGACTAGAGAAATGTATGAGAGATTTCCAATGGAAGCCTAGGGATTTGAAAAAGGATTACCTCATTAAGTGGGAAGCACCATGTCAAAGTAAGTGAATGGAATCACTTATGATCCTAATGCAACTCTAACATGCAAGTAAAATTGTGAAATACAAAACCAACATGCCATTGGATTATGTAATTCATTAATTCTCAAATTAAGAAAAAAAAGGACACAACCTTTTTATTGAATTCCATATCTCTGTAATACAAGGACCAGTAAAGTAGACTGCAGTCCCAATTCCAGAAACTCCACACCCTGCTTCTGTTGTAACAGGTTCAACCACTACCTTTTTCAACTTTGTTTCAGAAAGATAGAATTGAGGAAATACCCTCAAAGATTTTGGCTGACTGCATAACCAACTCAAAGCCTTCGTACTCACAGGCACTGCAATCTGTGGCAATACCATTCCAATTAAATTACGTATATAATACCATCTTAAAAAACAAATGATATTGCTTTTATCAATCAACATGTAGAACATGATACAACAAAATTCAACAGTATAATATCAAACTTATGAATATCTTAAATGGGGGAGTCCTCTACCTTGTATTTTACCAAAAATGGTGGAACACTTTTGAAGACTAGTATGAAAACTTAAATGTTGTTCATGCTATCCAAATTTTGATAGTTCATAGTTGATAATAATTTTAGATACATATTTATAGTTGTTCAATAGATACAATGCATAAAACAAGCACACCTGAGCAGAGTTCCAACTAAGGCAAGTTTTTGTCAGGTTGAGAGTTAACCAAAGCCCAACCATAAAAACCGAATCTAAACCCAGGACCCAGGTTGACTTACTTTTTTTGAAGATAAATAAAATTAAAATAAAACAGAAAAAGGATACGAGAAAAGGTGATAAGCAATCACCCGAATGAAAAAGATAAAACACCTAAAGACTTCTTGGATAAGTAAACCTAGGACCCAGGTTGACTTACATTGGCCAAGCCAGATTGATTGAGGCTTGGATAAGTAAATAATATCTTACTAATAAGGTCATATTAAGAGAATAATAATGGTGTACATGACTATGTGCCTTACAATTTCAGGCCAGCTCTTGCAGCCTAACCCCAAGATCCCATAGTTCCTTTCCTATAAAACCTAACACTCCTAAAAAACATTCCCCCAACACAACTGATCCCTTTGCACCCCTTGTCTATATAGTTAAGCTATGAACAGTTCTCTAACCATTAACTTACAAACTTTGATTTTCTGTCTTTCAAACATACTTCACCATAGATAAATATCCACAAATGCTTTTGCGGATACTTTAGCAAAACAAGAGGTGGGAAGGGAACAAATGTTCTGGGCTATATTGTAATTTCTTGATTCTTGCATCTTACACACAAGGAGGCAAAGAACATAAAATCGGATATGGAGACGAACAAAGAAATGAGTATATATTTCTCACTCAAGATAAAACAATAAGATCAAAAAGATGCATTGACAAGTATATAACAAAGAGGCACAACTGTACAAGTAACAATACCTTAGCAAAGATACAATCGTGTTGGACTTTGTAAGGTCTAAAAAGAACCTTGCAGATTCGTTAGCCAAACCACAAACTTCTAAAGTGGTTTATGAGGCATCGATAGGAATGTGGTTAAGGCCCGTTACACAAGTCATTGGTGATAGACACCCAACCTATGTGAAAGGAGATCCTTGGAATTAGATTGAGTGGGTAAGAATGAATCGCTGGATGACTTGGGAAAGCACTACCAATTTGAGGACGGTGAGTATAAAACTCTTAATCAGTTAAGAACTGTGTGTGCAGTGCACACTAAATAACTGACCTAAGTGAGTGTGAAGTGTGGTCGCTTCTATAAGAGCTCTTAGGGCTGACTCTCTAAAACATTCATAATTCCAAGAGGGGAACAAAGCCAAAATGTTCCAAAACAAAAGAACCACTAAGGAATTGGTGAGTTGAGTTAGTTGGCAGATTAGCTAGTTACAACAAAGAGGAAAGGTTGAAAGAATCTGACTCCACTCGTACTTAATAACATAGTCTGTCATACCTATGTGTTGATTGAAGTCCAAAAGATACTTTTCTCACCGCGATGCTCAGGTGTCCGATCTTCTTGTAACTTTGAATCTTGTGGGGGATTGTTGGAGGGAGATTCAAAATTTCAAGAATCTCCTCTCTCCCTCCTTTTTGTTTTGGTTTTGTTTTTTCTTCCTTTCCCTCTTCTTGCATGTAAGAGACTCTTGTCCCACATTGCTTAGGACTCTTGTCTCACATTGCTTGGGAAAAGAGTTGGCTTGGAGTATATTACTAGGACTGCTCTCCCTATGAGTAGGGACCCATAGGAGGAGAGCAATATATATCTCTACATGCATGTGAGGGGGGTTGGGGATGCTTTTCACACGCGCGCGCTGAGCCAAGATAGGGACTGGGCGTGGGGCCATGAGCACAGGTGCGGGTACGTGTACGTGTATGTGTATACACACGCTACACCGAAATGTTTTTCCTTTAACCGGTTTAAACTGTTTTGACTTTTGAATTTCAAAGTTCTGCTTAAAATGTTTATGTCTTCTTCTACCTATTTGTTTTGTGTCTCTGTGTCTCTTCGAACAGGTGCCTTGTTGCACTGCTCTGGAGAGACACTTCTCTTTGAAAGGACACATCTGTGTCCATTTGGGTGACTGGGAACACTCTATAAATAGAGTGGTGGTCAATTCAATGTCATACACCAACAAATTCACGGTTCTTTGTCTGTCTTCTTTCCTAAGCATTCTCTTTTGTGATTCACAAAGGTCTAGTAAGCGAGTGCAGTGGCTTGTGGGCTATTTTATCTTGATAACCAATTTACAATCACCCAGCTACAGGGTAGGGGCAAATGTAGTTTTAAGGAGAGTGACGAAATGGCAGACTCAACCCTCCTTTTCTCTGCTATTCTCAGTTCCCAACTGCCAATTGATTTCGAAAAGCGATATGTTCCATTCTGCCCTATTTGTTATTATTTTCCAACACCGACCACCCAGCATATATCTCGCTGATCCCCCTTGTTACTGAAGTCTCTGATTGGTTATAGCGGAGACTCTGATCGAATCCCGGCTTCACTAGGGTTTGAACGGCATTTGGAGTTTGGGGGAGGACTACCCCCGGTTGTGTAGCAATGTTGCAAGCGAAATCACACAGAAGAAAAACCAGCAGAACAACATGCAATGATGCAAATAGGTCTAAAAACAGTGGCATTATATACCTGTATTCTCAACACGCCGCTTCTAGAGCAAGGCGGGTTCGTCTTCAACTTTTCTATAGCTTCTTTAATAGCAATTACGCCGTGTTCAAGCGTCAGTGCAGGAGGCAGTGTGCGTGTCTGGCAGAGCTCCACTGGTAAATCACAATCTCCAGTCCCCGAAAACCCACCATATCCCGCTTCCATCCTTTCAGAATCCTTTGCTTCAACAGCCTAAGAAATGGAGGGAGAAAAAAGGCGGGAAGTTTCAACATAATATTACAGAGAAGGAAATTCTTTAACCAAAAAGAGAGACTGAAGAAAAACAAGATTATGAAAACGTAAATGAGGAGTAGATACAGCTTCAAGACCTTGAAAATTAAGTTATGGCTTAAATGTAGAAGACGAAAACAGTGGAAGCTACGGAGAGATTGACTGCTCCTGAAAGAAAAGTTCGAAGAGACATGTTTAAGTGGGAGAGAATGGTAAAAAGGTTGGAAATGGTGAAAATTTGCATTTATCTGTAATGCTCTTTCTCCTGTAAACATCGACCGGAACGTAGAAATTAGAATCAAAGAACTGAAGTTGTTTTGCAGAGTGGTTTAAAGATACGAGTCGAAGTTGAAGCTGGCAATAGAAAAAGGCGTTTGGATAATCTGGTGCCTGGTGGGATATGGCAATGGGATAGCTTTATCGCTCTCCCGCCGGGTCGGGGAGGGCGGCAAACGGATCCTATCGAAAACACAACGTTCAAACCAATTTTAATAATAAATTGACACAAATCCCGGTATATCGGATATGTGTGGATCCAATCTAGCACATGTTGTTAAGCAGATGTTAAGTGATATTTGAAAAAGACATAAATGTTCTTTAAGTGTCATCTGAATATCCAATTTTCTTGAATAAAAGAGGTAAGGATTTGGGATTATTAATTTTTTGTCAACATTTAAATAATTGATAAAGAAAATTATATGACACTTTAAAGGCATTTATGTTTTTTCATTGAAAAATACATTTTGAAGGTTTGAGTATTGAATTATCACATTTTAAAATTGATTAACGGCAGGAATTAGATTAACACGTTTTGAAAATTTGAATATTGAATTATCGCATTTTAAAGTTTGAAAACCAAAATGGCATTGGACCCAAAGTAAAGGGTACCATTCAAGAATTTTCCATTTTTGTAAAGGATTGCACCATATTCTTGTCTCTTACACGAGAAAAAAAAAAAAAACATATTGTAATCCAAAATAAAATATTCTTGACTCCATATTAATCTTTTCCTTTTGTATCCCCACGATACTGTCTTCATATTGAGCCGCATCAAAGCTCGTAGAGAATTTTGGCAACTATTAAATTATTAAATTGTAGGAGCAATCACCCTTTCACAGGGCTAGATTTGCTCACAACAAAATAATTTTCCAACAAGTTTCAACATGCTTTTGCTTGCGTAAAGACTAGGATCCACCATAAAAATGGGACCCATCATGGTAAGATTTATGGATACATATCATGTTGAAACTTGTTGTAAAAAGTATTTTGTTGTGAACAGATCACAGGTGATTAAAAATCACTTCATCCATCATTTAAAACTTTTGACAAGAATAAAGATGCATAAATTCATCATCCACCCTTAATTAAAAGGAATCGAGATATTCTCCCTACAGAGTGCTCCTCACACCAAGTTCACAGCCACATCCCATTATGTATTAGGAACATTTCCCATGAATAACTTTCCTATAAAATGTTGTAGATAGTATTCTATGCATATAACCACACATCTCATTTGACTTTTTCTCACTTTGTCACCCTATTAGAGCTATTCATAGGGTTGTCAATTGGAAAATTTTGGGTTGGATCCAAACCGATCCAAATCTTATCAAGTCAGTTTTCAACAATCCATTATAGTTATTGGGTTGGGTCAACCCAAAATAAAATCGCTTGTATTATTATTGGTTTGAATCGGCCCAAAACCAGAAACCAATAGTTCAAAACCAAAAACCCTACCAATTTGAATCGAAACCAGACGCTAAGACAAGAAACTTTCGGCGGTCGTCTGAAGCAACTCTTCTCCGATGCTCTGAAAAAACTGTTCGAACGTTCGAAGCAATTCTTCTCCGACGGTCGTCTATCAGGTGGCTCTTCTCTTTGTGGAAAGCATTCTCCTCGACGGTTCGAAGAAACTCTGGAAATCTATAAGACTGGAACATGATTCTCTCGCTCTCTGTCAAGCGTTCTCTCCGGCGGTCATCCATCAAGTGGTTCTTCTCTTTGGCGGTTTGAAGCAACTCTAGACATCAAGATTTTCTCACTCTTCTCTCTCAGACGGAAATAGGTAATAGTCTGGTTTTCTTCAAAAAATGAAATCCTCAATTTTTGTGTTTGTTACTATGTCGTTTGTGTTAGTTACTATTGTCGTTTATCCTTGAAACTTTTTGGGTTCCTTCGTGGCTTCATCAATACAAATTGGTGAGAAAATGGGTTCTAGTTTTCAAGGTCATTGATACTTTGAATACTTAGAATTAAGACTTTAATATATTAAAATGATAATATTCTATCTTAAATATGTAATTGATACTTGTTAAGGTAATTATCTAGCTTTATCAAACAATAGCCTATTTCTAAAAATTGGATGAGTAGTACTTATATGAAAAGGTTATAATTCATAAATTTTTCTTTGTTGATAGCTTTGTTTCCCTCCATGCCCAAACAGATCTGATTCTCAAATAAAACTAACCTCTTCAATTGTTGATAACCTCTCAAATAAAACTAAATGATAATATTTAGTGGGCAAGAAGGCTCTGAATCCATGTTTGTACCATAAGTATGTATGAAGCATTAGGATTACTAATGCTTATAGGAATTAGAACACTCAGAAAGAAGGAATCGATTATGAAGAAACCTTTTCGCCTGTGGCCATTCTTAAATCCATTAGGATCCTGCTAACTGTAGCAGCGTACCATGATTACGAGATTTGGCAAATGAATGTCAAAACTACGTTCCTGAATGGAGATCTTACTGAAGATATCTATATGCAGCAACCACAAGGTTTTATAGCTGCGGGTCAGGAACACATGGTATGTAAACTAAACCGATCCATATATGGACTTAAGCAAGCTTCTAGAAGTTGGAACATCCGGTTTGACTCTACCGTCAAAAAGTTTGACTTTGAGCAAAATCCGAATGACCCATATATTTACAGGAAATCCAGTGGGGATAAGGTTACGTTCCTGGTTTTGTATGTAGATGACATTCTACTCATTAGGAATGGTGTAGGAATATTGACTACGGTGAAAGTATGACTTTCACAGCAATTCTCCATGAAAGATCTTGGAGAAGCTTCCTACATACTGGGTCTTCGGCTCTATAAAGATAGATCGAAGAGGATAATAGGATTATCCCAATCTGCTTACATTGTAAGGATAGTCAAGAGATACAGTATGGAGAACTCCAAGAAAGGAAATGTTTCTTTCAGGCCTGGAGTCACTCTCTCAAAGGGTATGTCTCCCAAGACTCTCGAGGAGATTATCCCAATCTGCTTTCAGCCGTAGGGAGCATCATGTATGTCATACTGTGCACTCGTCCTGACATCTCTCAGGCAGTGAGTGTGGTAAGCAGATTCCAGTCAAACCTAGGACAAGAGCATTGGACTGCTATGAAAAAACATACTAAAGTACCTTCGAATGACAAAAGAGTTTTGTCTGGTATTCGATGGTATTTTACTACAGATCTAGGGGTATATTGATGTCAATTTCCAGTCAGATCCAAATGATAGAAAGTCTACATCTGGTTATATCTACACGATAGGATCGTGTGTTATTAGCTGGAAGAGCAGCAAACAAGAGTCCTAAGTAGTGAGAATAACAGTCCACAACCCAAGCTGAACACATTGCCGTAACTGAGGCTGTCTAATGAATGAAGGTGTTCATTCTGAAATTTGGAATTCAATACATCACACATTCCACTGTTGTGTGATAACACTGGATCTACGGGAGATTGATGTTAAAAGGTAGCATCGGCGAAGAATGTGGCAGACCCATTGACTAAGCCACTGACACAGAAAGTATTTGAGAAACACGTGAAAAGTCTGGGACTCCGGCTTGTACCCGATTGGACCTAAGTGCAAGTGGGAGCTGTTAGACAGTGTATGCCCTTAGTTCTAATCAGAATGATGTACATTATGACATTTAATGTAATTGAATAAAGTACATATTTGATTCGTGTTATTATGTTGTGTTTTTGTGTAATACCCTTAAATTGGACACATATGAGACTTGTGTCAGTTTAGAATCTTCACAGCCGTTGGATAGATCTGGGGAGATATATCCTGCCAAGGCTGACACTGATGTGCCGCCAAGTTGGTTGGAGTGGCTTGTCTTAGCTGCCAGGGTGAGACCTGAGGTACATGTAGTGTGGGTTTTCTTGAAACCCTGAACCAGACCAGAATTCTAGTATTGCCCTAGACCTTGGAGATAGATGGGCAAAACTGGAATGTTACACCTGACCCCTAGACTCGATTATGATACTGCACTAGGTGTCGGATTAGCTTGTCTTTGATGTGCCAATCAGTGAGATCCTTAGAGGGGGTCAAAACCTGGGTATGTTGGGACAGTCCGGGAATTCATCTGAGTGAGTGATCATAGTGACAGGATCAACCCCTTTGTTGGATAAAGTGAACGATCGAAGATGCACTCTCTCTGATGGAAACAAAAACTGCCGATAGTCGATTTCAACCGTTGAAATTTGTTTTGCAAAATATATTTATATAGAGATATACATATATACATTATGGTTTCAAAATGTTTGCAAAAAGGTTTTAATTCCCGGGATCCATGTGAGTAGAGAGTGCAGCGCTGTACCTCGCAGCCAAGGGAGATGTCCTCTCTTGTCGGGTAGTGTTTGATCATTATGGGCTGAGAGGTTAAGTGTAAGACCATTGAAGGTAATACCTGATGGGCTAATCTTGCATCTGCCCACAGTCCTTGGATTTTTATAAGGTGGCTTGACCCAATGACCATTTAGTGTAAATGTTGGGCCCAATAAGAGCCCATGGTGATGGACTCAGGGGTTCACTGTCTTCTACAGTGAATTCAGCCAGGCCTTCTAACAGAGGGTAGGTTGAACCCATGTGGTTGATGTGTAGATCAATGTTTGGGTCTCACGCCACACAAGAATATCCAACTAGGCAGCAGATAGGAGGGTAAGTGAGCAAATGGACTTAATGGGATTAAGAGATGCTCTCTTTAAAGGCTATAAATAGAGCAGCAAGGGGCGAACCAAAGACACAGAAAAGAAGAGAGATCTTCTGGTTCGCAGATCACAAGGAAGAAATTTTGCAGTTCGACTACTTCAGATTTATACCCTTTCCTGCTCTTGCCGCCTCTGCTAGTTTGATCTCCACTTGTAGGAGCGATCAAGAAGAGTTCTTGATATTATCTTTTGAGAGAAAAGATAATCATAAGTCGTGCTCACCTGCCCTCCGTCGAGTTCTTGTTGAAGAATTCGGTTCTTGCAGAATAACCATCCTGCTGATTCTGCTCCACCCTACACTGTATCATCTTCAGTGGGAGCAGTCTTTGGTATTTTCCTTGAGCGTGAACACTTTCGTTGGGGGTTACTACTATTCCGTATCAGGTATATCCCTCTCCTACCTTTTGGTTTCAGATCTGGTTCGGTTTGGGTTCAAGATTGATCGTTGAAAATGCAGTTTTCTAAAATAGGGAATGTAATTCCCACATGGGAGAGAGAGAAAATTTTTAAATTTTGCCCAACCTACCTGTAAGGTTCGACTATCCATATGATGGATCTCTCATCCCTTCAAGTGTATTGACAAACTATTTGAATAATTAGATGATTACCATTTCTGCTTATTTTTATTGACCATGTAAGGTTTTGAATTGAAAGTATTCATTCAACGAAAACTGTATACATGAATTTACTATTTCTTTGAAGTAATTATTTGGGTCCAAACTTTGACAATTTTGGAAATTAATTGACACTTTGATACATTATGCAGTTAGACCGATATGAATTGGTTTCTATTTGACAAGTATGCATATTTTGGATTGATATTTGTTGAGTCATTATGTATGACAACAAATTGTTAATTGAAGGAAGATGTTAATGATAGATTAATCTGGAATTATCTACAAATTGTTTGTAGTTAAGTTGGTTATAAAGCTTATATTCTATGGTTCAGATTTAACGAAATTTATGCTTGAGAATTCAGAATTGATTATGTTGTTCATTTTACTTTGAAAGAGCTTTGTGAAGGTTTCAACCGATTCTCTTTATTTTGGTTAAACTTTAGCTTGAGAATAATAGATCCTTAATCTGTTAATTCAGTAAGTTTATATGCTACATTAAGTTAAGCTAGCTCTTCAATTTTTATATTGTTTCTTTAAGTATCTCAGTTCTTTAAGAATTGAGATATCATGAAATGGCCATGAAGGTAATTAATTAGATCATTAGGTCTGTTAACTAATCAAACCATTAAGGACTTTGATTCATGGAGAGTAACTGTATAATAACTGTAAAATGATACTGCATTATAGTGAAGGTATGGTAGGCCTCTGTGTTTGATTAATAGCAATCTTACTTGTCAACTGTTAGACTTCTTTTGGAACTGAAATTTCAAGTCACACCAGAGTCTATGTATATTTTTTAAAAACTAATTGATTGGGTTAAAAGGTCTGAAAATGAGTTTCCGAAGAAAAATGTTGTGTTACGATTAACTAGTTTAAATGTTAAAAATCAATTGGAGTATTATAAGAATAAAAATCCATTGTTTATGATCTCTTCATATAAAACTGACTGGATTGTTTCATCTGATAGGACTTTGGATCCATGTTTAGCCTAGTAAAGGCTGTTGGAGCCGCCTTAGATTAGTTCTTGTGATGGAAGACTGGATAAATATTTTGTCAGGTTTGTTACTGAGCTTCGTTAAATGGCAGAGGAATCTCCCATAGAACAAATTATTTTGAAGCCCAAAAAGGTCTCCCATGTCTGTCTAGACATCCTTTATTCATGTGACAAATTTCAGCCATAATCACTTGCCACGTGTCAAATAATAAGTCATTCTTCTTTTGACCAAGCTTTATATTAAAAAAAATCTAAGATTAAACAGTTGATATTTGTTGGGAAAACCACTAGTACGAGGTGAGGAAGCTTCCTATAAATATGGGGTTTTGGTCCTCATCCTTGCCATCAAACAAATTCATAGCCACACCACAGCAGCAGTTCAACACGAAAAAGGAGTGAATATCAAGACTTGCTCTTCAAGAAAAGAGAGAACCAATTTTCATGCAGCTAAACTAATGGCAATAAGTATGCACATGCTATTTTAGACTGATCACAATGCTCCTGTCCTGGGTCCTGGACTCCTGGGAAGATTCCTGAAACTTATAACATAATTACACAAGAGAAGCTGATAGGAATGGATAGGTCCACTTGGTTGGACTTCCAATGTCCAAACACAGTTGGGAACTATTTTGAAAGTGTGCCTCCATTGTTCTTGGAAAGAAAGCCTCATGTAAATTGTGCTAATAAGGGAAAAGGTGTAGGGCATTTGAGGTGCATTTTACAATACATACAGCAAAAAGGAATTAGAAAAGGTGCATGACAGTTGAGGTGCATTTTGCTTCATCATAATTGTGCTAGTACTAATTCCTTTTAACCATGTGGGAGATGTCTAGCCAACCTGAACATCTGGGTCAGCATGGCTTTCTGCAATTCTTGGGTTTCTACTTTACATTTGATAGTAGCTCCACTTTCAGAGAGTTATATCTTGCTTTTCTGGATGAGTTCATATCCTCCTTTGAATGGCGTGCATCTTGAATACAATTGTAGTTCTCGGAGGGAGTTATTCAAGGTCATGTATATATGGTGGTCAAATAGATTCAATCAATGAGTTAAAACAGTAGGATTCTTTATAAGTCCAGGATTTCTTCATTTCTTTCCTTCCTAGGATTTTATGAAAAATTTTCTTAGCTGAATGTATTGAAAAACAAGTTATTATGATCCAACCTTCTTCTCATGTAGCAGGTTTTAGCCAAATAATCTTTCTACATTATGTAAAAATATGCACCTTTCTTCTAAGCACTTCCCCTCTTTCTTTCTTAGCTGATTCTCCTTATTTTGGTTAAACTTCGGCTTGAGAATAATAGGTCCTTAATCTGTTAATTCAGTAAGTTTATATGCTACATTAAGTTAAGCTAACTCTTCAATTTTTATATTGTTTCTTTAAGTATCTTAGTTCTTTAAGAATTGAGATATCATGAAATGGCCATGAAGGTAATTAATTAGATCATTAGGTCTGTTAAGTAATCAAACCATTAAGGACTTTGATTCATGTAGAGTAACGGTATAATAACTGTAAAATGATACTGCATTATAGTGAAGGTATGGTAGGCCTCTGTGTTTGATTAATAGCAATCTTACTTGTCGACTGTTAGACTTCTTTTGGAACGGTATTTATTGGTGTATGTTTCTTTAAATAATTCAGTTCCATCTATGCTGATGGTTTTATTGATCATAACTTTTAGTTATACCATCAAAGTATTGTTTAGAGAGGAGGAAAATGGGGGGCGGGGTGATGGGTGTCTGTAAAGAATGCATCCCTTTTTTCCTGTGGGTTGAGGAGCGGAATGACGTTGAGAAGCAGAATAAAAGTGTGTTGATTAATTGGCAATAATTACTCAATAGTTTGGACCGGATTGGGTCCAATCTGATCCATTTGTATTTCAGTTAGACTGGATTGGATCCAGTTTGTATGGGATTTGGTCCGGTCCGGGGCGAAGGAAATGGATCAATGATGGACTGGATTGGATTGGACCAAATCCAGCCCAATTGATAGCCCTAGTTATTTATAGGTTCTTTCATATGGATTTATTATTCTACCTATCATTTTTTTAGTTTTACAATTTATCCATTTAGGCCATGTTTGAGAGTACTTAAATATGTGCTTATTTGGGCCGGCACCACACCATTAAGCATCTATTGGTGTTTGGGAAATAAGCCCAAAATAAGTGCTTATTTTAAAAATAAGGACTTATTTTTTAAGCCCAAATTTCCAATTTTTTTAAGTGTTCATACAATAAGCTCTTATTCAGAATCTCTCTCATAATTGTTCCTGATAAATTTTTAGAATACCAACTATACCCTTTTATAAAAACACTTTTACAAAGACACTTTTATAAAAGTACTTTTACAAAAGTAAAGTATTTTTATAAAAGCACCTCTTAGAAAGTGCTTTAACAAAATCACTTTTATTCACAAAAGCACTTTTATAAAAACACTTCTACCAACGTACATTTTATGAAAACACTTTTATGAAAGTATTTTTGCAAAACTACTTTTATGAAAGCACTTTTACAAAAATACTTTTATAAGTGCTAAAAGTGCTTTTCTCTTTTACAAAATCACTTTTATAAAAGTACTTTTATAAAAACACTTCTATCAAAGTAATTTTATTCATTCACTTTGGATTGGGTATTTTGAAAATTTGAAAGAAAATGAAGGACAAAAGAGTCACAATTGCTTATTTGAGTGCTTATTGGAGAAAAAGGCCACCAAACGCTCAATATGAAATAAGTGCTTATTTTTTAAAATAAGCACTTGAAAAAATTGGGTGCAAAATGCAAGTAAATACTTATTTGAATAAGTATTTGTTTTTAAGTACTTATTTTTAACATAATCACTTCCAAACATGGCCTTAAGCATCTATATTTCTAGTCATTTTTTGGATGTATTGTTTCTTAATCATCCAACACTCTACTATATACAATATAGTTAGCTTACAATTGATTCATAGCATTTTTTTTTTTTCTGTATCCAAAGTGATTTTCACCCATCACATAAGACTCTAAACACATTCACGAAAAAAAGGTTTTTGCTGATAAACCGCCAGCATCGACCTATACCGGGGATCTTTCTTTCTAGGTATGGGAAAATCATGACTGCCAGGAAAGCCTTACAAAACCACCATAGGTGTCATCAAATTGGCCCCTTAAATTAAGCATTGTCGACGGTTTGTCACAATCGCTAGCTTGTGATTTATTATACCGACAGTCATAAACCGCTAGGAAAAGTATATGTACATACATATGATATAAAGAAATGTAATTTCTTCTAGGAGAACTTTGAATAACCACCCCAGGGTGAATTTTGATTTAACTCCTACTAAACAATTACCACTATTATGATAATGGATGATTTGTTATTATTTTTTCCACTATTCTATGCCTTTTTAACATCATAGTCAAACCCTAATTTAATTCTACATGCATATTAAGGATAGGGAAATATACCCGTTAAGCCCCAAGTTTTAGTGGAAACCAGATTTTGTCTTTAAATGCTTTATCAATTAAAAATAAAAGTGAAAAAAATCATTCACCTAACATACAGGTTAGGTTAAGGTTGAATCCTAAAGCAACTTGGTAGTTTTTTTTTTTATTTTTTTTGGATCCAAGAGTCCAAGTTGATATATGACCCATTCTGCAATCAAAGGATATGGATCATTTAACGGGTCATTAGGTCCAAGTAGACCTGCTCATGGGCCGGGTAGCCTGATGTGACAGCTCAGTCCAACTCGTTATAAGTTGGGCTTGGTCATAATTTTAGGTCTGCGGGCTTGGGCGTAAAGCACTAGGCCCAATTTTTTTGAACCGGGCTCAGGCTTTCTCAAAAATGCTCGAAACGAGCCCAACCCAAGTCCGACTTGATGCTATATATTAAACAATAAAAAATATATGTTATTTAATGAAAAATATATATACATTTTTTCTTTGTTTTTCTTCTCTTTTTTTTTAAGTAATAGTGAGATGTTTATTATTTTTCAGCTTTGAAGATTTTTAATATAAATAAAACACTTTTTATTGAATAAAACAGATAAAAAAAATCTATTTTCAAATTTTTGGTCGGGCTCAGGATAGGGCCTGAGCTTTGAACTTTATATAAGGGTAGGGCTCGGATTCAAGACCTAGGCCCAATGGACGGGCCAGGCTCGGACTCAGGCCTGAATGTATTCTACTGATACATAGACAAAGCCTGGTTGAACCTAGCCCGGCCTGGCCCATGAACAAGTCTATGTCCAAGTCCTTGCAATTATGAATTTGGATTTTGGACTAGCATGGGAGCCTGATGGGCTATATATTAGATTCATATTGGGGGGTTAGTACGTAGCACATTTGAAACCATCTATATAGTTTTGAAATACAAACTATCACAATTTCCCTTCGATACTAAAATCTCATGGATTGATCCACTCTATAGTATGTTAATTGATTATCATATGTATTACAATAAATGAATGCGTGAATAAGGAATAAGGCAAAGGTATAGATCTACATAAAAGACATTAGATAGCTTCGGAGAGAAAGAAGAAAGGAGAAAAATTGCATAAAGTTTCAAGAGGACTTAAATGGAGATTGAAGGCACAATCAAGCATAGCTTACGCACAAGTTGGTATTGAAAGTTTGAGGATCTTAGTTAGTTAGATTTGAGACAAAGGGTTCAAGAGTAGGGTTTCACCATGTATTATCGTGGGAATTCTAAGATCAGGACTGCTACTCTTTTTCTTGAGGTCCGCACATAAACATGAGTTCGACTACAACACTTTTAGATATGCGTCATCACAGCATAAAAAATTATTGTGTTGGTGTATTAAATCATTGGTGTACTAACATTAAAAGCTCAGTTAGTTCTTGCACTGTGGCAATGGTTCACCACATCTCATTCCGAGGGCGTTGGCTTATCGTAGTTTGATTGTTGAGTAAGACTGCGTTGTAGAGGTTTTCTTCAAACTAATAATTGTAGTTAAGTATTCTTTAGCACAACTTACCTGGTATTTGAGTGGGTGAGTTTATGATTGTGATGCACCACACCACATTGCAGTCTCTAGCATGCCTACATTCATATACTTACAAAATGAAATGTTTTATATAATTTTTTTATAACAATACATCCATACCACATTGCAAAGTACCTTATGGAGTATAAAACAAACCACATCTTATAGAAAATGTCTTAGAGGCTTCGTTGGCTACTGATGGGCAAACTGGATTACTTTTGTAAAATAAAACATTATCTATATGGATTATATATATTCACATCTATATTTATAATTTTAGATATATAAAATGGATATTGCCTTAGTTGTGGTGTAAGTCAAAAATTAAATTTGATTATATAATATCAATTAATATTTTTATCTTTTATTTACACACATGCATAGCACAAATCAATTAATATTTTTATCCTTTATTTGCATGCATGCATTACACGTACCATGCTCTTCTTTTTACCAATCAGAACTTGACTCCTACTTAGAATCTTTTAACTTTTAAAAGAAAAATGGTTGTTTGTTTCCTCTTATTTATTATCTCTTAAAGTGCAATCATACAATTTTTCTGTTTCCCAATGGTACGTCCAAAAAGGCAAACAAAAACTCTCATATATGGAATCCAAATGGATATTTGATAATTTTTAGAATTTAGAATTCAAAACAAATTTTCGACACTTGAAGTTCAAAGGAAAGAAAATTTCATCAATACCAATATACCTCTAAATGTAATTATTGCACTTTCATATGTCAGATTTCAGAGCAAAAGAACAAACCCTTAGATTTTGCAATGAGCATACCAATGTCTGTCATATAGCTCTCTCTAATGCCTCACCTAACTCCAGACCTTCACATGGCTTTCTAAAGATAAATTTTAATGGCACCGCATCTTTCACCAAATCTGGAGCTGGTTGTGTAATCCGTGACAATCAAGGTGCTTTTTATCTATGCTTGTGCAATTCCTCTCACTTCCAATTCGGCTTTGGTGATTGAAGTCATGCTTCTCGAGTCACTTCAATTTGGCCAATCTTTGGGAATTTCAGGTACTAGTATATAAGATGACACTTAGACCTGATTAGTTTCTTGTCATGGTTTTTAAAACCAATCCGACGACCAAATCAATCAGGGGTCAACATAAAAAAAAATTAAAAATTTAAAAAATGATCAAAACCATTCAAATGGTTAACCAGCTGATTCAATAGTTTTTTGACCAAAATCAATGATTTTGGGAGAAACGAAACTGGTCAGGTAACTAATTCCCGGTTTTTCCAGTCTGACCAT